CTGAGACACAGCACACATCAATGCCAAGCGAGTCCAGTGTGAGTGCAAGAGCAGCTTGTTGTCCTGCTTGCTTCAGAGTGCGAACATTGAACGCGGCTAGATAGAGTGGGTGTCGAGGCTTGAGGACTGATCTGGAGATTCCTGAAGATGTCGGTACCATGTGACGAGCAGATGCTGCACGCAAAACCGATGCATGACGAACGGAGTCATCAGTCCTAAGTGCTGGGCCTACAAGGAGAGAGTTATTAATGGGGTGGGGAGAGGGGGAAGAAAAAGTATGTGAAGGAGAAAGAAGGGAGGCGTCAGCAGTAGCCTGTTTTCGCTTACCCGCCCTGCTGTATGCAGCAAGTAAGGCGACCCGGCTGATGGCACCACGCGACGGCCGATGTGGCATGAGAGTATTGTTAGTTGCGTAGGTCATGGTTGTACGAGGGCTGGGATACTGCCAGGGCGCCTACACCTAGACAGGAGGACGATTAGGGTCCTCAACCAAAGCCTTTGGCTCAAAAGCCTAACCGCAAGGCAGCGGTGTTTGGCGGGAAATGCAAATGCATTACCATTTCTACGGAACAAGTCGCCACATGTTCCAACCCCCAACCTGGAGGGCCAGGAGACTGTGTTCGTCAGACCTCTCACCATTGACCAACCTGGTATGAGAGACTCTTTGAGTGTCGCGGGACACTCTCCAGTATAGCTCAATGGATCGTTGAGGTGCGCAAACCGTCACACCACGGTAAGGTCCAGTTTTTCGTCAGACCTCTCACCATTGACCAACCTGGTATGAGAGACTCTGTGAGTGTCGCGGGACACTCTCCAGTATAGCTCAAGGATCGTTGAAGGTGCGCAAACCGTCACACCACGGTAAGGTCCAGTCTCTTCGTCAGCGAAAATAGCTATGGTTCAGCCGTAAAAGTCAGCAGCATAAGAGTATCACTTGTCGCGCTTTAATTCGCGATTGAATAATTACTATGAAATAATATGAGACCCTGAAGACATGATTCTGATGTTGAGTACCGTCCGTATGGCATTAGTTCACGTGAGCAGCCGGAGTACACAAATATTTCGTTTGTGGATTGCATATTGAGCACACGAGCCCCAAGACGAATGTGGCAAAGTAAAATGTTCTTGTACTCGTTTTGGGGGTTTGTAGTTACCCCCAAGCACTCAATTTCTAGGATTTTTCAGTGAGTAATGCTAATCTAAACCAGATTTTGGCGTGGTGCAGTGCGTAGTGCACCCAAGCAATCCATTATGCTATGCTGGAGAATGTCCATGTGGCATCCCTACCGCCATGTTGGCTAATGGAAAGGTCTTTATAGGTAATGCTTCCTGACCCCTGCAGACCAACTGGGGGTTTGTTTGGCCTTGGATACGAGACGCGTGGACAGCAGAGATCCCCGCTTCAGATGTGTTCCGACCGCAGGCTGTTCCTCTGCAGTAACAATTTTGGGAACAGCGGAGCTAGCCTGGCTACGTGAGGCCTACCAACGAACCCGCTCCGAATCCAAACAGACCACATTACCGTCAGTTGCTGGTGGCGAGGGTCAACCATCGCCTGCCGATCCTAGAATAGTTGCGTGGAACACGACTATGTCCTTGTCCTCTGCTGTTTCTCATTGCAGTTTTCAATTGTCCGCACAACGTGTACACCTTGCTTGTTCATTGATAACTTCATAAATTTATAACCTATCAGAACCGACCAGACCACACCAGCCTACCGGCTCGTCGGATTTTAAGTTACTGGAGGCAGGTTTTCAAAGTGCTACTTAAAGCCGGAAATTTACTTGCAGTATCACCCAGCCAGTCTCATCCAATCTCTGGATCTCCGGTAGAGAAGTGGCTTTGTTGTAGGCCCGTGGACAGCTTCCTTCTGCTTGTAACCACAACTCAACGCGACGCATCATCCGAAGTCAGGTGAAGCTGTGTTCTCGCAGACCAGAAGGCTTGGGGGGTCCAAAAGTCCGAATATATTAAAGAAAAAGAAAAAAATGCTGGAAATGTCCTTTGATTATTTCGCTCGATTCGTCAGACTAATCCCTGGAAGCCTTTTGTCAGCGAAACCATTTGGTGCGAGAGATAGCTCAGTGGTTAATGTGCGAATGTCCAGAATGTCCGTGGTCCGAACCCAACCCTGGCATGCTGCTAGCTCCTGTCTAGGCTATTCATTCCAGAACAATCAGTTGATGCGGGACGACGTATGCCTTCGGGCACAGCACAGTTCAGGTAAAAGATCTTTTGGACATCACCTCAAGCGGGATACGCGTACTGATGAAAAAACCTAGTGTGATCAGAAGATTCTATAAATGAGTAAGGCAATGTATCTGGGAATTGGCAGAAGCTGTTTGATTTCATACGCAGACTGAAACTCAAAGGATCGATTGCTAATCAAATGATCAGAAATAATATTGAGAATATTACAAATAACAAGAAGCATCATTCTAAACGCGAGGTTGAACATTTTCAAATCATTTGACATTCATTTTCTTCCGGTGTTTTTGACTTCACATCCCCGGCAAGAGACACTCTGAATCCCGACATTCCCTCGAATTCTGAACTGCTAGTGTCTCCTGATTTGAAATGTCATGGTCGCCAGTGTCATTCGCTGTTGACGTTGGATTCGATTTCAATGTAATTTGGAAGCAAGCACGTGCTCCAGCAAACTACAGCCTACTGATCAGTGTGTTTGTAATAAAAAGAATGTGACAAAAGCGACTGCTTCAAACACAACGACGTTATCAGCGACTGGTGTAAGCCACCAGAAACACCTTTCTTGTATCACAAACAAAGTTCAGTGGGACTCGAGGTCAACCAACAAAGCCACCCTAGGAGGTGACTTACTTAAGAATTTGTGACATCTCCTCGGTCCAAAAGCCTCAAAAGTCCTCGGACATTCGGATACCGTAGCACAGCAGGCGCTAACTGGCCATAGAGTGTTCATGATGCATTTGTTCGTAACCGACTACCAAATAATAAATCGGGATTGCGTGACCAGAGGACAAAGCTGGTCAGTTTAAGGTGATTGGAGCATGCACCACCGTCTCTCAAGGAAAGTCCATGTTAACCAGGCTCACAGACGACAGACCATTACATGGCGACGCGAAATAAAAGCTACCACTGTCAAGTTGAGCATTGTGAAAGCCTTGCGCTCCTCAAAGTGAGGTCTGTTTGGTTCGCATTGCGTTTAGTTTGCAATTTTATAGGACGGCACGTAACCGATCCCAGTGAGGAGGTTGCTGTCACTACCTATTTAATGCTTGTCTCTTGTTGTGTGCTGGATTTCTGTTGAGTAGGGTCCGAAAATGGTGTTTGCTCAATCCCGCAGATGGTATTTCGCTCCGATATGGTGCTATGTTGAGCTTGAGATGGCTCAGTGGTTAGCGTATGAACTCACTGACCAGTAGGTCCGTGGTTCGAACCCAACCTCTTCATCTCCACCACTCGTGTGTGGACGAAGCGACCTGTTTGCTCCTCAGCCCTCGTGTTTTCTTCATGTAGCGTGGCAGCTAGGCACTGATAAGATGTTACAGCGAGACGATTTTTTTGAGTTTTCCCGCAGGAATACGGTGTTTTTCGTAGTAATTCCCTCTCATCCCCTCCACCTCTTTTCATTAGTTTCTAAGACCTTTATCCATGGTTGTATGGCTCTTCCGTTACAGCGTTTACTGGTGTTTTAATAATGCTTTGATGATATTGTGAATTCTCGTTTCCTCTCAACATATTAGGCGCTCGATCGCAATGTTCGCCATGTTTTATCACCAGAAAAAAATCGTTCAGCTGTATCACCTTTTCGGTGCCTAGTTGCCATGCCACACAAAGGAAGCACGAGGGCTGGGATACTGCCTGGCAGCCCAAGCCTAGACAGGGGAAGTCGAGAGGCAGAGCTCAGATTCGAACTATGGGCCTTCCGGTCAGTAAATTCGCTCTCTAACCACTTGGTCCATCTCGCCTCAGCAGGGAATGAGGACTTAAGGGCTCTTCGGAGGATTGCGCGCTGACAATGAGTGAGGAATTTGAACACTTCAAGGAACCGGATTCTCTGCCGAGCATGGTATACTGGGAGATAGTCATAGTATTTTCATTGAAGAAATTCCAGTAGGCACCGTTTGCACTGAGGTATTTTCATTGTTCCTTTAATGAGTCGTAGTAACTCGCTTTTGCGGAGTTTTGTGACAGCACTCTAGTACTCCAGAGTTGTACTTGCGGTATCTCCTTGATCACAGCGCCTTTGCAAAACGAAACTGACGGTGCTTGAGCTACGAGTCACTATACAGAGTACGATATTATCGTTGTTATTTCCTTGTATCAGACGAACTATGACACATTGCACTCCTCTGCTCCCATGTGTACAGTTGAAACACTGATCTGCATCTGTCTGATCACGTGTGCTACCGCCTTTCTCCCCTTCAGCGCAAGTCGGAAAGACAACACTTATTCTCTCACTAGTCAGTGAGGAATTCTCTCCAAAGGTGAGCTACGTAAACTCACGCATTCTCCTTTCTCCACTTTACATTTTTGTCCTATGACTCATGTCCTAGTGTATCTTTCTGTTCAGGATGACATAGATTTTTATGGTTTTCCGGTGAGTTTTTCTAACTGAGAAACAGGCCACATCTCTACAGAGTGCTGTGCGGAACAGACATTGGGCTGAAGCTGCGCATCTGTTTTCAATCCAGGCCTACCTCTTGTTTGAAGTTTGGTATTTGGCTCCTCCCCCAAGAGCGGACCTTCCCATTGAAGCGAACCTGCTTGAGTTATTGGCAGTGGCGATCAATCAGCTGAAGAGGGCTTCTTTAATAACTTGTTTGAGTCCGTCGGATATGGACAATAAATAGGATTTCACCAGCGAACGAAATTCACATTTAAAGCGATTGCTATGCTCATCATCAGCACATGGCAACAGTCTGATTCTGACATGGCTGTAGCTGCAAACTCAAATTGCAACTGATATTCCATACCCACTTCATCCTAATCTTCCGACGGCAAGCGGACGTGACCAGGAACTCAACTGCCCCAATTGTTACCCTCTTCTGTCTAGCTTTTATTCTATGACACATCGAGTTAACTTGTGTTGAACTTCGATTTGGCTGGTATTGGAGCAAGTGCTCAGATTGCAAAGAGGCCGGATCGTTCCAGTGGTTTTCAGAAAGAAAGTGACAACCCCCCCATCGAGGATAGAGTCTTTTACGTCATAGTTACTCTGCAGGCTGACTGACAACCTGCACTTTCTTTAGCCGCTTCGCTACTTTTTCTCCAAGTATTCTAATGGACAGGTATCGGGGTCCACACGAAACGACCGGCTTGTCGATTGGGTATGATAATCATTCACTGCAAACTATTCACGAACAAAGTCAGTTCCTCCTAGTTGTTACTTATCAGGTAGCTAATACCGTTTCTCAATTGACTTCCTGTTTCATGTACACCTTACTCATTAAATTATGTTAAGTTACTTGATCTGCTAACTAAATGAAATTGGTTTTTGCAGTTTTGGACATTGAAGGCCACCGTTAAGCGTCGTAAGTGCTTTCGACGGAAACAACCGAATTTCCATAGAACGCTATTGAATGCGCGCGAGACGCAAATCTATTGCAGCATCATTTGAAGGTCACCCAACAGACACAACTATAGCTCTGTTCAACCCTAGATTGGGCTCATTTTTTTCCTTTACTACTTGACAGAACAGTCAGCAGAGGGTGCTTAGTAATGTTTTGTAGTGTGTTTACTATAAATTCACTCATACACCACGGATAGGAAATCATTGATCCTCAGCCATTTGGTTCCGGTGAAAAAGTCGTTCACTGATCTCATTGCAGGTTCCCGCCCAGGCTGAAGAAATTACCATCCCGGCCGATGTTACCCCCGAACGCGTCCCCACTCAGATAGTGGACTATTCTTCACGCACACAGTCCCATGAACAACTATGTGCTGAAATTCGTCGAGCTGATGTGATTTGTCTCGTACACGCCTTGGACGATGAAAAATCTTTGGAGAGAGTAAGTGTTGCACTTACACACCGAATGTGTTTTCTCTTCAATTCCTATACACGATTGGCCTCTGCTTTCTTCTGTGGCACTGGTGGTAGGCATGAACTTCTTACAGCTCAGCTAAACATATCAAGGCGTCCAGTGTATCGTCTCGCCACAGGGTACTGCGAGATTTTATTGAGCGACACGGTTACGTAATCTGCTTACTACGAAGCAGTCAATCGATATGGTGGGTATAACGTGAACAACATCTCGGGTGGCTCTTTGTAATTGTCGATACAAGTCGCATTGCGATCGGTTTTCTAGCACACTAAATCCGGGAGATGTTTCTGAAGCTTGCTGGTTTCGTCTGATCAGGTATTAGCTAAGACCGAACACTACCAATTTTGTTGACTTCGGTTACCTAGCCAATGCACTGAACCAGTTGGGGTGGATTAGGTGTTCTAAAACCCCTTAGTTCCGCCTTCGAATAGTATGGCTAATGCAAAGTGGATGGCTGACAGGGACATGTGTTGTGAACAGGCCTTCTGACTGAAGGCTTCAAGAATAACACGGCTCCGGTGGCAACACTGAATCAAATACGCAGTTGTACACTCCGTAACATAAATTCACCGCTTACCAAATACCTAATTCCAACCCTCGAGCGTTTTCGCTTTTTTGTTACAGAAGAAATTTGCAATGCAAATTTGGCCACTATTCGTGGTTCCGACCTTCGCATGTTTAATTTTTGAAAGAACTTTTATCCTCAGTAGTGCCTTTATGCATAACATCTTTGATTCATATGTCCACGGAATTTTATGTGACATTTGGGTCAAGATAGGCAGCGGTGACTTGCAATGAGAGTTGTCTAAAAATCATATCGGCTTTGTGACTGTTTCGTTGTTTTCTTCTCAAGACCTTGCATTCTTTGGGCGCCAGCTTGAAGCAGTGTCAGTCGTCTGGTAGATTAATACTTTGTCGGTCTGTTTCCTCCTAATAGTATGTAGAAGGTCTTGGATTCCACATTCTTACAGCGTCTCTGATTGCGGTGATACTGAAACAGTCCGTCTTTTCCGGACCTGACAGCGGTTATTTCAGGATACTCAGGCTTAAGTTTTAGGATTACCAACAGCGTGCTCAAGGACTGTCGTGTAAATGCATACTACAACCCACAAAAGTTGAGCTTATGACAGGGTGTGAAGTCCTATTTGGAGGTAAATATCTATATAAGGTTAGTGATGACAGGCATGCCTTTTGAAAAAATGGCTGTCACTCGGTTCCTAGGCGTGAGTTCCGCGTAAAACACACTTGTTCTTGACCGGTTAGTGGGAAGTCCACGTGGCCACCTTTTTTTACGGTTATTTTTCGTAGGTTATTCACTTCATGGATAATTCTGAAGACCAGAACTTGGCATCTGGTGGTATTTGAGCTTCTTCAGTTGCACACGTAGTACTGTCTTTCTAGGATTAAGAGTACACAAGTTGTGCTCAAAAATCTGGGAAAGTACACAATTTCGCGGGCTGTATGCTAGATAACCTTTCAACATGTTTCAAGCAAAGCCCAATTCGGCAGGTAGCTTTTAAACAGTGTCGGATCGAGGTCCGACACGCAAGAGGGGTAACTTATTGCAACACAGTCAAAGGACATTTGATGTTATCCTGGAGGTCTGCCCCTTGTCCTTTGGTCTTCGTCTTCTATTCCATATCTGATCCTCTATTCGTTCTCACTCCGTTTTGATCACAGATTTCCTCCTACTGGCTCCCCCTGATACGACATAATGGTGCGAATCCGGATTGTCACAGTCCCATCGTCCTTGTAGGCAACAAATTGGATCTGCTCAATGAAAGCAAACTATCTGTAGGTATCTCCTGTTGTTTTTACCCCTTCTCCCAGGCTCTGGTTAAACCAATTGGTTTTTTTTGCATAACTGCGTTTGTTAGTGTTCAGATTAAAGCCATAGGACAAGCGTTTCTATCATACCGCTATCTTATTGTAACAAGCTCCTAGAGATGGTTCTATGACTACTCCGGATTGCATCTACATGCGCCGACAGATTGTAATCCAGTCTTGTTTTCAACTTTGGATCCCGAAGAGTTGGGAATCAGGTACCCAGCGTCCAATTCTGCACTACTGAGCTCACTTCCCAGCAGTAATGCTAACTTCATTGTGGATATGGGCTCGGAACTTTTTTCACCGAATCATCATAGGCTGTGAATTTCGTTGCTTGTTTCGTGCCTTTCAGCTTAACTAGCTGTTTCTATAGAGCTGCCTTTTTCGAGGGCCGTCTCTGTAAAGCCCGCCTCTAATACAGCCGTGTATCCATTCTATCGCACTCCACCCTATGACCGCCGCCCCAATTGTCGGGATTCTCTTTGTTTTCTGTAGTTCGTAACAGAGAAGGAGCACTGTAGTGTGCATTATTGTTCTGTGTTGCAAATTGATTCAAAACTTATTCAAACTCATTTCACTACGCTGTTATAATCTTAAAAAGCGGAAACATTTCCAATCTTTTTTTATCTGGGAGAGGACTTCATCACTTTCGAGTTACGAATGTTTTTGAAAGTATTGTATAGTAATTACTTTGTAAGAAGCTCTTACACCTATCGCACTCATGGACGTCAGGCATCTGGTTGTTTTATGTACTTCCTGCTTTTACGATTCTGTCTGATTTCGATCATTCACACACGGGAAAATATGCATTCTTAACCTATCTGGTTAATGCTGAGTGATAAGCAGTGGCAAAGTAGTTCACACATGCAAATGCCCACGCGCATCATCACCCTATGAAGTTACTTTAGGTTTGTTCGGCAAACTTGTGGTGCTGTGTTCAATCGAAGTTGGGATTTTTGTCTACTAACTGGGGGTTACTGGTTCGGATCTCCCTGGAACTTCGTCAAATGCACACTGCCGATAATTCCGAACTGGGATGAGTCTAGTGTACAGTGCAGCTTGACTCAACCTGTGAGATCAGATCTCAGTTGAAACCTTCCGCTAGGATAATCTGATAAGGTTGTCATGCGTGACTTCGCCTCGCGTTTGCATTTTACGAAGCTTAGAATTCGAGTGGCATCCTCATAGACGGCAATAAACCACCACTGGAAACTGCCACGCGACTGTCATACAATCATGGATAAAGGCCTTGGAAATTGGTGAATAGGGAAGCAGAGGAGAGGATAGTGGAGGGAATCAATTGACTCCTGGGGGAAATTATCAAAGGCAAGATGATTAGGCTTTCCAAAGCCACCAAAGTAAACAAATCACAGCATCATGTTGGAGAGAAATATCATCTGCAGGATTGAGATAACATCATTTTCGGATCCCACCCAACAGAAATCCGGCACACAACAGCAGACAAGCATTAAATAGGTAGTGACAGCAACCTCCTCACTGGGATCGGTTACGTGCCCTGTCCTATAAAATTGAAAACTTAACGCGGCGCGAACCAAACAGACCTCACTTTGGGGAGCGCACAGATTCCACAATGATCAACTTGACAGTGGTCGCTTGTATTTCGCGTCGCCATATCATGGTCTGTCGTCTGTGAGCCTTGAGAGACGGTGTTGCATGCTCCAATCACTTTAAACTGACCAGCTTTGTCCTCTGATCACTACCTGGTAGTCGGTTACGAACAAACGCATTATGAATATTCTGTGGACAGTTAACGCCTATTGTGCTACGGTATTCAATTGTCCGAGGACTGGAGCTTTCTGGACCGAATAGATAAGTCACAAATTTTTAAGTAAGTCTGCTCGTACGGTCGTCTTGACCTCGAGTCTCAGTGAAGTCCTTTTCAGATGCCGAAGATTACGCAACAAGAAAGGTGTTTCTGGTGGCTGATACCTAACGTAGACTGCGTCCTTATGTTTGAAGCGGTCGCCTCTGTCACGTTCGTTTTATTACAAACACGCTGATCGATCGGCTGTAGTTTGCTGGACCACGTACTTGTTTACAACGTACATTGAAACTGATAGTTAGGATAAAACACAACGCCATCCAACACCAACTACGAACGACGCTGGTTCTGTGCAACGATGGCATTTTAAAGCAGGGGGACACTAGCAGTTCACCAGTTGAGGAAATGGGGAAATTCAAAGACCACCTCTCGAGCTGGGTGGGTTGAATGTAAACACAAATGTAAACAGACAGATGGCCTAATTGTCGGTAAAGTGTCTGGTTTGTGTAACTGCAGCTGTCTCTTTAACTCACTAGCTGTCGGCTCAAGGAATCCCATTTTGTGTATGAGGATAAGCAATTTCCCCACGTTCCCACTTGCCTGTGCTTTCCAAATTCCCGGCTAGCGTCCAATGGGATAGAAATTTTTATACCGTAGAGCAACAGTGACTTCTCCGAAATTCAGTACTTTTTGGTGGTTCTGAGAAATACTGCATGGTGAGTTTCCGGGAATGTGCATGGCGTTGCTCGCCCCCATTACGGCTGACGTATACAGCCTCTGATGCTGTGCTTTTGGTGAGTTTTATTTTTGGTTCAGAATGTTTCTAGAAGTCTGTTTCGTAGGTTTTCATCGGGAAATTCGCACCAAATGAGAGCGTCATCTGACTTGACTTGAGCAGCTCAGAACTGAGGACAGTCAAGAATGGATTCACGCCAGTAGCACCTGATGGATCTGTAACCGGTCCGGTTTAAATTTTGTTACTGCTTTTCTCCATTGCTTCAGGTCGCCTTATTTTGTACTCCAAATGACTGTTCTTGCCTCGGAAATATATTTATTTTCGCCAGTTGCCATCAACCACATCCTTACAATACTATTATTTCAATTCTAGAAAGCACTCCCAATTATGTCGGAGTTCTCGGAGGTGGAAACTTGTATTGAAGTAAGTCTAGAATAATCCCTCGGGAGACCAGTGCCTAGGCGACTACTATCGTTTTCGTTCAACTTTCGATGATATTTTTATTTTCCGTATGTGTGTTTCTGCGGCGAGTTTAACTATCATTCACAAGTCTAGGGTTACTGCATAAGTTTCCCATTTTTATGTCGGATTGAGTGTAGTTACCATGAAGGATGTGCGCGCTTGTATCCGGCAACGGGATCGGGCATATAGCGCGCGGACAGAATATCGAATAATTCCTATCAGAAAGCTTGCTTGTGTTTTTGTGCAATCCCAACATACTGATCATGCGGACGATGCATAATCCGTTCAAGCCCTTTTATGCGGGACTGCTATGCCAGGTCTGACCCTTGATCCTCGTTGAATGGCTTCCAATGCTTCCATTCTCCTAACTTTTACCCAACAGGGACATTCCAAGACATTGGAGTGGCCTTTAGTCCACCAGTAGTTTACCATAGCTAGTGGTACAAAATATCTTTTCTTGATATTCATGCACAGAAACCCTACTCCCACTTGTCGATGGTGCAGCACAGTATACTTCAGGGGAAAATACTCAATGTCCTGGCGGATATTACTCAGGACTTGAGGTTTTACGTGAGGTTTTCATGCGAATAAGTATGTGGTTTTTTCCGTTGCTCGTCGTTTTTTTAGAGTTCCAACCCAGTTTATGTTCATATCCGTTCATCCGTCTCAGATTACGACGTCAAACCGTCGATTTTATCCAGACGTCCTTGAAGAGGATCAACTCATGTAACCGAGCGAAAGTTGTCGCGCACATTTGTTTCGTCTTATTAAATCCGGACTCTTCCGAATGGACCGCCTCCTATCTTAGTTGCTCAAATACTATACTCATCGGGCCTATTCAATACCTCCAGTGGTTTGAAAACTTCTGCAGTCTCTAACAACCTCCTTCCTTCGTGTCACTGTGCTGGTGTTGCTTCCTTTTCGTGGTTTGACGTGTTCATGGTTCAGTGCTAGTTTCGAAGAACTAGTTTAGTTGAGCGCCTTTGAACCGCCTGATTATCCCTAATGGGCATACTCCGTGAGGAATATTCAAAACCTTGTTACCCGTGTACACCCTGCTTCTCCATGTACAACAGTTCCAGTTCGAAAGCTTTTTATTCGTTTCATTTTGGAGAGGCTACATCAGGAAACCGGCTAAGTGATTCTGCTAGTGACAAGGAGTTTGATATTTAAATACCCTCTGGGGAAGCAACTCGAACTTGGCGCTATTGAAGGGACCAAATTGGCGAAACTGCTCTTCGTTTCGTTCTATTTTTTTTGACACGAATAAGACTAATCCTCTCACTCAGCATCGTCCAGTGTGATTCCTCCAAAGGTAATTCTGATAAACCTTTTTGGGTAATCATTACGACTTTCCAATTGGTTTTTGGATCTTTGCTAACGAGGCTCTTTTACCAACATTGTATGTATTTTTGCTACTGTGAATTGTATTTGGTTTTCTATTCCAGTGTTCCGCGAAAACTTTACTTAACTTGAGTGAAACATTCTGGTTCGCTCAAAAGGCTGTCCTTTATCCCACCGCCCCACTTTACGATGCTGAGCGGAAGGAGGTAGGTCACCATTGTTTCCAGCTCCTCTTGTAAGAGTTGAGAACCAATACGCTTGTGTTAATTTGTTTCATTCCACTTGTTTGATAATGGTAGCGTTTGAAGGAACGATATCTTGACACCGTGATAGCTTCATACCCACCTACCGACTAATAGATTTCTCTCCACCGCTACAGTCTGCAACCAATTATTCACCCGACCAGCTCAGCTTCCATACAGTTGTTTTCCTGTGCGGATACACAGTCTCCCTCTCGATTGATAGACTTGCTTCATTCTTTGTTGCTGCTGCTCATGGTGCTTCTACTAGCACCATTATCTGCCCACTTACGAGCGATTACTATGTGGAAGTCATGCAGACTTGCTCATTTCTTGAAAACATTCTTCGGGACGAGAAAACGCAAGATGACGCTTGTTTGTTTGATTCGCGTTTTAAAAGGTGTTGTCGTTGGAAGGATTGCTGTAGACGAATTCTGATTGCTACAGTCGGAAAAGAATAGTTGTCTGGACTCTGTGGTTTTTTCAAGAGTTGTTAACTAGCGTTTTCTATTGACTGAATTGAATCAGAAATGGTTTTTCGAATGAAAAATCATGCGCCCATATGTGCTCGCCAAGCAACGCCGCTGAGTGCCATCCTAACCTCTTCTCTGATCTGCTTTTCCGACCTACGGAGTAACAAATTATCCAGGAGCATGCTATTTACAATCTAAAAGTAGGCATTTCTAAGTTACGTTTATTCGAGCGGAAGATGTGGATATGGATACCCGGCAATAGGCTTCTTTCCCTGGATCCACCGGGATAGATTAGAAAACCCAGACAAGGATTGTTCCATTGCTATTGTTCCATTGTTTGCTGATTGTCCCATTCCTATCATACCTAGAAAAGCGAAGGGTTCGATTGCGCATTTCACCCTGTAAGTTGAAGTCGGCGCATACTCAAACTCTTGGAGCCATCCCATACCTATTGCTGAACCAATCTTACAAATCCTGTGGTAGATTCGAACGCGCGTCTACCGGATAGGCGTTGACAATATGATTACCGTACGTTTAGATCCATTTTACAAGAGCTCAGTTTCCAATTGCATTATTACACGTATCATCTGCAGCACAGAAGGAGGGACTCTCGATAACTTTCACTGATGCTGTAGTGCTACTTTGGTATTCATGTTCCTTCTTCCCGTTCGTTGCTTTTCAAATTTTAGCTCTCCGAAATACTTCTGTCAGCAAGTAACATTTGTTTCTAAGATTTGTGATTCACAATAGCCATGGCCAACTCCGTTCGTGATAACATCAGCGATGTGACGGCCTACTCTGATCACTTTTAAGCGTACAGGAGGAACGTACTATCATTTCCACTTGAATATTTGCCTGCTAAAATTTGTCTGTCTGTATGTTTGTGTTTCGTGTTCAGCTCGGTTGTACGATAGCGAAACATCAATCTTGAACACTGATGTTATGCTGTCGATGATGATGATAATGATGATGATGAATTCTTCGGTCTTACATCGAATTCAAACTGCTTGACTTCATCTTTTTTATTTTCACAAACTTAACCAACCAATATCAGCTCACCCCAGCATGTATCCGAGCTCTCACACGCGTGTTTCGTATTTGTGACACGGACAACGATGGTTATTTATCCGATCGAGAGTTGGAAGCTTTCCAGTCCCGATGTTTCTCTGTGCCACTCACGACGCAGTCGCTACAAGATGTAAAACAATTGGTTCGTCAGTCTTGTCCCGGTGGAGTGACGTTGAATGGAATCACTCAGAAAGGTAGTTCCATAATTCCGACTGATTGTTTATTGCTTTCTAGTTTCCATTTGCGAGTGTGTCGTTCGCAAATCGTATCGTTTCTAAACTCATGCACTTGTGTTTTTTTTTCCAAAGCCAAACCAGTCATTGTCATTCACATCAACCTGAGGCGGCTGCTTAGTTATTCGCGTACCATTCCAACGGACTTTCTCACCGCGAACCTGCGGCAATGCCTTGGTTACCTAGCCTGCTTTTTTATATTTGAGATCAACAGCCCATCTCTAATAAGGTCATTTTCATCCTCTCTATCAGCGCGGTTGCTATGGTCCATTGTTCTGTATGCTGTCATCGGTAGATTGGGTAGAAGCAGTTTGTTCCCCTTAGGTATTCTGTGACTTAGAGGATGTATGGTTAGACGGAATTGTCAACTGCTCATTGTAGCCCACGTGGATCACACACACACACACACACCGACCGACGTCTAGTGAGCCTTTTGTAGCTATAAGTGAAGCTTTTAATGCATGCTTGTTATGTCCTAGCTGAAGTTATCTATGCTGTGGAGAGATGTCTAGACCCCCTATGGACCCTTTTTTGGTGTGCATGAACCAAGCGATGTAGTTGGGCAGCTGTAGCAAAGCAGCCCACAATACCAATAGAGTGTGGTGGATACAGGGTCGATGAACCGGCTTACAGTGTTTTGTTGACTCATGATTAGCTGTCTTCATCCTGATAATGCTATAGTGATGTTCGAAAATTACCAGCTTCAGCCGGGTCTGAGTTTCTTACTTGGTCATTATACTGTACTCAATGCGAACTACTTTTCTCGTCACCAACTATCCCAAACGGTGCTCCTACTGACAATTGCGGTAAACGACTATCTGCTTCTTTGATCGTGCACCTCGCTGAACTTGTGTTTGATCTTCCGCTTTTCCCCTATATGGGGACCGCCTGTAAAGCCCATTCATAGTAGCCCCTTTGGATAAGAGAGGTTCGTATACTGGAGGATCGACCGAATTTCCACTTTTATGTCAGAGGTTCTTGAAATGAATGGCTAATTCTCGAAGAAATTCGTCGAGTCTGTTTGCATTTCCAAGAATTCTGTCTCATGACACCTAGTTCTTGACTTTGGTTCAAACTGGTTCATCGGAAGAACACGGACTCTTCTGACCAAAAAGCCTGGTTGATCCTATTCTCATATGCAAACGACAGTTATGACAATGATTTCCGATTTTCATTTCCTTTACTTCTGTGGATTTTAGTCATTAACAGTACAGTCAAATGAGCTCGAGTTAACTCAGTGGTTAGGGCGCCAGCTTACTGACCGGAAGGTCCTTGGTTCGAACCCAATCCCGGTATCTTAACTGTTCCTGTCTAAACTTGGACAACCCGGTAGTATCTCAGTCGCCGTGCTACCTTCGAGTGGCATGAGAGCGGGGCACTGAAAGGTATTACAGCTAGATAATTGACTGGTTGATTGACTGATTGATTGGTACAGTCTAACATACTTGACCCTTCCATCTTCCCTCCTTTCCCCATACCTACAGGTTTTCTTTTTCTTCATCTTATCTTTGTGCAAAAGGGAAGACACGAAACCACGTGGACAGTATTGCGGCAGTTCGGTTACGACAACCAAATCCGTCTATCCAATGAGTTTCTCTTCCCAAGGTGGGCCATATATGCACAGTTTTTGTTGTTGAACAGTATACGCATTTTTCTGTTGAACACCTGATACTTCCTATTGTTTGGTGCCCATTCAAGTTGAGTTAACGGATTTCACTAAGAAAGGAGACCGGTCAGTGTATAATAATGATGAAACCCTCAATCCTTATGCGAGTAGTGAGTATCATCCTCAGTCCGAAATGACCAGTTGATCAGTACGCCGGGAAATATGAGGCTTTAGTGTCACTGCATTGTTTTTAGGACTTGTTATCAGTAGGTTTTTAACCCGATTGCCTATAGAGCGCGCCGAAATCGCTGCGTACTCCTAGAACGTCATCCTCATTAAACATGTTCCCTACTTTCGCGTACGTCTGTGGCATCCGATGTAGAACACCAGAAAATCGTGTCTATTCATAAGAAAAAAGCTTTGCTTCGAAATGAGATGGAGAAAGGACCTGGTGCCGACTTAGCAAAATGATTACTAATTATCTGCACATCTAAGTTATTAGACAGTGTGAGTGGAAACCGACAGCAAATGCGCCACTGAAATCGATTCGTGGTCATGTAGAGTTTTCAACCAATTACAAGTAGGGTTACATGATCAGTGCAAATGTTTCGACTTATATTCAAGTGTCCATACTATCAAACCCTACAATGTGTGACGCAGACTCCGCAAAGGCTGATAACGAACTCTAGGTTATTTCTTAAATAACCTAGAGTGCGAGATAAAGACTGTTCTGTATCAATTTTGAAAGTCGTCAGAAATTCGGTGTCCGGAGAGTGGTCGTAGTCTCACAGCAGTGGCATCCTTCCTGTACGCAGCTGTCGAGCAAGAGCTTACATACTGTCATGTTTCTCATCCCTATACTAAAGCAATAGAAAAATCAGATAGGTTCGAACGAGGGATCCTCTGGTTGGTGGTTTTCGTGACCTGGCTGATCATTCACTACGAGCAGGATAATCAGTGGAGATTGATTACTTATCTATCGAAACCGCCCCTGGCTCGGTTGGGATCCTGTAGAAAGTTATCTGAGAATATCACAGTTACCCCAATAGAACGTGGATTCCGATGGTAACTGATTCCTCAATCGTGGTATAACAGTGGACTGCATAGATTCTATTCAGCATCCCACAAAAAGTATGACAAAGCCCACTTAGTTGTAAGCCTCCCTAAAATCATTGCGCCCCACTGAAGGTGAAAGGCTCTGAGTCCTACGGTCACATCATAGGTTCGTATTACCCATTTATCATCCTTTTAACGTGTACAGGTCTTCCAGTCTCCATCTTTCTGAGTTACGCTTCTACTTTCGTGGTTATCAGATCATCATCATTACCAGAGGCAACAAAAATAGCCAGTAGTCGTCACGGGATCGTCAAGTTATATGCATTTACGGAAGACGTGACGTGTTGGGAAAAAGACTGGCGCTCTCATTGGCGAAAGGCTAATGTCGAATTGTATCCGCTATAGCAGTTATTCTGAAAAGACTTCCTTGAAGAGGGGGCTTTTCGGTCCTTCTTTGGGCATAACCTTTGGGGTGGTCTCCACTGAATCGTGTATATTCCTGTTTTATTCATGCTAAGCACTTTGAAATCTTGGTCTTCCCTTGAATTCCCCTGAGCACAAGCGAAATAGGGTGTATTGTCACTGTCCCAACAGTCATGTGCTTTTTCCTCGGTCGATAGTGTGACAGCTGCGTGCTTTGGTGCACCCTTCCGCCAGACCAAAGTGTCCCATTCAATCACAGTCAGCCGTCAAAGTATCCCGTCCAACAGTTCGAAGATATTTTTGTGGCGTAAATTGGTGTGATATGACCCGCAAGCGTAAACCTAACAGACACGTGGAAAGCAAATAGATCGCTGTACAAAAGTGGTGAAATGGATGGTTTCAGTAGTCAATCATCCTGAAAGGACACCTAAGAAGTTTTGGACAGATGCGATTTGTGATAACGTATGCTTACTCATAGCACTCTCAGTCCATCTACCCATCTCAATATCCAGGCTATCTCAGCGTTTCTAGATGTCCAGCATAAGACTGCTTCACTGCTTTGTGGGTTAGCGTACACAACTTCCATACCGAACAGTGCAGATGACCACATTTTGTACCACATTTGATCTGTAAAGACCCTGACTAAGTGAAAATGTGCAATTGGTCCGCACCACGTTTTTTAACTGATGGCGTCGGTTGACTAAAATACATAATGGACTCGCTTTGACCACGATTTAAAGTTACAAGTTGTTTGGCTTTCAGTGGAGTGGTTAAGTAAGCCAAATCTCGTGACATGTCAGCTCAATTCTCATCCAGATATGTAACCAACTTTCCCGTGCATACTAATGGTCGGGTGCATATGTGATTTTTTTCCGAGGAATAACCTTCTAGTACATACGGTAGAGTGCTGTGCTACTAGACGACATCAGTGCAGTCAATATGGCGATCAACGCCTTTTGCGCTACTTGTCCATGATTGAGCGTAAAGCCTCCACTATGTACGAGGTCTGATGTTGGTGTTCATCGTTTAATGTGTGACAAACACCGAAAGATTTATTCCGGTGTTGACTAGCTGAGAATAGTCAGGACAATTTAAAGAACTGGATGCATCTTTCTTGGGTTCTTCAGCCACAGCACTGCATATTTGTCACGCACAATGGTTCTGGAGCGTGTTTGACACCTCTAATCCTCTTTGTCGCATTCTTTTGACGCCTATGCAGTCCGCTATAGTCACGATTACAGCTTATAGTCATGTGACTTTTCAGCTGTGCTTGATCATTTTGTGATTGGCACCTACAGTTGCTATACGACAATCGTTAAGATTATAAATACTATGCGTTTCACTAAATGGAGACACTCGTTTGAAATCGTACTCGATGGTTAGGCTCCATCAAGCCATCATTCGACTGATATATCGGCCAGTCGTCCCGTCCTTGGGCGTGATTGTTGATGTGGGTGTTTCTTAGTACTGTGTTCAAATTATTCGAGCTCCTTGGCTATTCTTTTAAATGCCGTCATTTTATGGACATAGCATGTATATGTGATATATGGGAAATGTTGGGGCGCAAGTTGATGCGGCCATTTTTGGTAGCCTGCAATTAGCAGACATAGCTTGCTCTTTCGTTACAATAGCGGCATTAATGTCATCTGATTAATATGAACTTGAACTCACTTGTAGTAAACAGTGAGACGTCCTATTGTCGGACTGAAAAGAATAGGGCTTCTGACCAGTTCCTTTGCAACAACTGACCCATAAGCCCTTTGGTCCTTGTAGCATATCGATGTAGCGTTTTTTTTTTCGTTAAAACGGTGCTCTAATGTCAACATGACAGTGAGCTTGTTACTTCTTCTTCACAGCGATGGATCGTGAACAATAGATATTTCCTGTGTTTAAGACCGTACACGTCAGAGAATTATGTCCCTTCGTCCATGATGACCGTGAACTTCGGAAGTAAAGCAAACAAGGAATAGGCATCAGGCAGGTGTTACAAAACACAACAGGGGAGTTGTGGGTGTGATGGCATACTCGTACCAAGGTGATTGCTAAAGATAATTTCAGACGAGATCCATGATTCGCGAAGATAGTTCAAAGGATAACTCATTAGTTCATGACTGTTTCCCGATCTAGATATTCTTTCAAGAGCTTTACAAAGTAACGCAAAAGCCTCCGCTGTGTACACGTTCAGGCATACCTATTCCAGAGGTCATACTGGAACGTGAGTGAATCTCCGCATAAGCCTTGTGGCAACTTGGTGGGTTGCGTTTCATGTATCAGCTAGTTGGTGAAATGGATTCAACTGACCATTCAGTTTTGACTTTCAAGGAAAGTTTCGATTGGCTTGTAGAGGGATACTACCGCGGTGAGTCGTCGGAAGTCGCGGTAGTCGGTGGTTTGACTCTGGAGCACATCCATGAAAACTTCACATTTTGGCTCGAAATGTGTACAGCATCCGGCTTCTTGCTGAACCATAGCTTTATTCTGGTAGTACCTGACCACTCAACTCCATTAGCTGTAAAGTAATTTTTCCCAGCACAATATTGTATTACGTCATTACTGAGAGCAACTTTATTAGGGAATGTCGCGGAAGTCGTTCTTTGAGTAAATTTTTTACTTTAAAACACTTGTTTATCTTGGAATTCACTTTCATCTGTCCTGAAAGCCGCAAACAGTTCCTGAAGACTTCTCTTTGACGTTTACTTGATGTGATGGAATTGCATCCAACAACTTGGTAGTAAAAAACATGGATGCACTTTATAAGACGATGTTCGAATGTTCAACCTGCGTCTGGGTGCGGCGCATCCACGTGTAGACTCACAACCAGTCTGTACACTACATCCAGGAGATGTACCTGTGGTGGACTGCCAGTTCAGTTTAAATGGACTGTTGTTTCGTTATGAGTGGATTAAGAAAGGCTGTCCAACTACTTGGTGCTAGCACGAATTCAAAAGCACCACACGCTGTACGTAGCAGCCGTCGAGTCGAAACTGCGGTAGTCTTCTTGTCTTGTCGAATGTACGCAGATGTTCGGTACTAATTGCCAAGGGGACTGTCTGGAAGTCAGCCGTCCCTAATAACTGAACATCACATCATTAGAACAGATGTGACGTTCAGGCTACGGACCAAACAGAGGCATGCTCTGATTGGTCAGAGTGCCAACCAATCTGAAACGAGCATCTTTTGCTTGACGCCTTTCGTCCCCTCACGAAGATTCCAGCACGACCTTGTGGAATATTCTGTGATTACCCTATAAATACAGTGGCAATAATCATCCTTTGTCTCCATAAAGGGATGTCTGCAGCTACCGTGCCTTTTAGTATATCATATTATCATTATCATTATTATCATTATCATATTATATATAATTATATATATATATAATATTCTCATTATCATTATTATCATCATTATCATTATCATATTAGGCGGAGCAAGAGGCCAAGGGACCGATACGGAGTTGCACGACCGTTCAGCAAGTCACAACAGGGACTTCTTATCAAAGCTCATGGAATCGCTCAGCACTTCTTCTAGGTTTTATTGGGTTAATCATCAAAAACTGGTGAATCAAACGAGAGAATCCATATTGCTATTCATATTGTCTTTCAAATAAATATATTGTCCTGGCTAGGAAAGTGTTACATATTTTTCAACTTAGCTTAGCCTGGTGAAAGTTATTTATCACTTTTGGGTGGTTATGAATACTGGATATCGGACCCACTTAAGTTAGGTGGCTGTGACAATTGATTTGCTTTAAATTGTTTGAATACTTGTTAGTGTTGGACATCCAATCTTTCGGAATCCAATCACTCGTACAAATCCTCCTTTTTGCGTGAATGCTTACGTCTAACTATATTTGAACTGTGCCCAGTTACCAATTTACCTTAAGCATAATCGTTGAAATGTTAACTCAGATCATAACCTGTGCATAAATTCACGCATATCGGTACTGATAAGTGTATTACTTCACTGGGCACGACAAATCACATTTAGTTACCCTCCCCTGATAAAGAGAGTGGCCTTTTCTGGGACGTTTCGCTTGCTGAGTGGGTTTCTTCGCCAGTTTCTTTCGATATCTTTGCAAATTCACTACGAAATCGTATATAGAGCTAGAAAAAAGTTTTCTCGGGAATGTTTGGTCGTTTTAGTAGTGTCCCTTCTTACGGGCTAGGGTCAGCTAAGATGATTAAGAAGGCAACTCTAACAACTTCCCATCCAGGAGAGTATACTTATGGTGTGAAAGCAATAAAATTCCCCCGTTTCCTGCGGGACCTCATAAGCTAATCGGAGTGGGAGAAAACTCACTTTCACTTACATCAATTTTGCTATATTGAATCGGACGTTTTTAGCTGTTATCACGTACTTGTTTAGCAAACTGCATGGACTTTGCTACTTATGATGTCTTGTGACGAGCATCTTTTTGGATGCATCATCATTTTTATTAGTGGAGCAATCATTCCAGCTGATCACAACTATAAACAGCTAGAGCAACGTCTCTACCGCTCCTTGCTAGCGAACATTCTTCTATCACCGCTTGAGAAAAGCTGCTGTAAAGCTTCCAGTGGGTTTCCGAACTTATGTTGTATTATCCTCCTGTCAAAATTTAGTGTGCAATTCAGTAAGAAGCCCAATGAGGTGTCAGGAAGATATTTCTCGCACTTCCAGGCTTTCTTTGGTTAACTGCTGCATAATTCATTCAAATGATAAAATGTAGTGAAGTGAAGAATTGGTTGGGGGTTGAAAGGGCTGAAAAAATGATCCAGAATAAAGCGAAGCGTATCCAGCGTAATAGTCACATTTATCGGCCCTCCGAGCAATAGTATGGATTGGACCCGGATATATAGAAACCCTGTGTAGCTCTGCTGGTGAAATAGGTTGTTTAGCCATGCACATTACCAGTATATTTGTCCTATCCAATGTCGTCTTTTTTAGGTATTCAGGTCCAAATTTGTCTCAGAATCGATCGTTTATTGAAACCTATCTCACCATTATGTTATTGCTTGTCTTTCTAACATCAAATATACAACGCTTCTGCGTATCGTTTCATTTGGCTGCCCACTGGCATAGTCTTTCATGTTGGCTTTCCCTCTGTCGCGACATTTAGTGCGGCAGATCGACGATCAATCTTCTGCATAGTGGATTCGAATAGACTGACTCTAGGCCCGTCAGACCAGAGCGGCTACGAAGCTAGCCAGGGTTTCTGTATACCTGGGCCGATTGTGTATCATTGATTGGAGGACTAAAGACTACTCCTATCATGTTCTGACAACTGCACTTTTTTGGGAAGAAAAGTATTGACTTGTAGTTATGTGCATTTTGCCACGAATTATATGGTTTTGATGCACCCCAGTTTATTTACACCTAGGCTTATCACTACCTCTACGTTTGTGTGTACAAGAACGTCTGGGATAGGTGTTTATTCAAACCCACCACTTCCCCCTCATCCTAAGGCTATCAGTGTCATATTTGGGAATATCTTCTCATCCCAATAGGCCGGTGAAGTCATTTTCCATTACGTCGTTTTAACCTTACCTTGTCTTCCTCATGTTTGCTTCCGTTTATGTAGTACCGAGTGAGTGCATGTCCGCAAACGGTGCGGATTATTCCGGTTACTCATTGTTGTTAACGGGGATGATGGTGGTGTGACACATTTTTCTTTGTCACTGACTTGCAAACAACCAGTGTTCCATCTGGGTGATTTTTATCGTCATTTTCTTATGTCTTGCCTTTTTTATTGTCCCAAACTTGTTTGGGGTTTGTCGCCGTGCTTGTGTGTACTAGGTGTTTCTTGAATCCGCCTTTTGGAGACTCATATGCGTGGCTGTCGGGTGATTTCTCCGGTAAATGTACACTTTTATACCTCCACACCATGACGCCGATGTGTTTACTTTGCAACACCACAACAGTGATCGATAACTTACAGGGATGATCGCTTGACGTTGCTTTTTTCCGTTCTTGCTTCGCAGGTTCTCAGTCCCCTCAGGATGCAGTACGGAATTATCTACACTAGGCATACAGTTTCTCCACATGTTGTTCAACAAATATGATCTCGTAAGTTGTTTTTCCCTCGGGATGGATTCAGGTGTTTTTTTGCTTTGCCCGCACACCTTTGATAGTGAGAGGTGACCCAGAGTGTTTTGTCCATCAGAAGAACTTACACGTTCGGTTGATCTATATCCCCAGCCTTTTCTATTCAGTCGTACTCCGTAGTAAGCGAAAACACGATAGTTCCACGTTAAGTCTGTTAGCCACCGTCGTGCTACATTATGCAGGTTATTGACGCAGTGATTTCAGTCTCCCTAGTTTGATTGTTGAGCTCATCATTCCTCCATAAAGTAGTTCTGTCCGACAGTAACGTTGCATACATAGCCCTACCAGGTCGTTTTGCGTCTGATTGCTATCACCTCACACAACGAACTGAGAATGACTCCTAGTGTCATTTCTAATGCGGCTTCGGATCAGTCGATGGTCAATATTTTGTTTCCACCCCGAAGTCATCGCTGTTCATTTCTATCTCGGTGGGAACTCATTTGGCTCGCAGTGGAAGACTTCCGCAAAAGGCATCCATAGTTACGGAGACTTTTTCTGGGATAGTTAAACTGGAAAGCTAATCAGTAACCCATATTTAGTTGTTTTGAAAGGGTTTCTTTGCTTTCACCTCATTGGAATATTAAACATTAAACATGACTTGCCTGCGATGCATTCAAAGTGTTCGCTCTGAAGCGTTTGATGAACACTTTTACGTCTTATCAGACCGAAACGATTTAGATAATACCTCTATCCTACTTCAGATAATCACTCCAGCCCCTCGATCCCTCGAGATCCCATCCGCATGACCTCCGTTTATTTTGAAGTCTTGATGAGTGTATGATGATTCGTGCGTGCATGCTAGCACCATATATATGATTCCTCTTCCTCTTGATTCCCTCAGGATCGCGATGGGTGTTTGTCTCCATCTGAGCTTTCAGAGATGCTTGCAATTTTTCCCGAGGATCAATTGTCCCATGTGTCCGAGCTGACTGATTCCGTTACCACGAATTCAACAGGTTGGATCACTTGTCAAGGATTCTTAGCCTACTGGGCGTACGTCTTCCATGATCGTTTGTCATTATATTGGGCTATTGGGGTATCTTTCTCTATCTAGGTCGCTTCTCACACTTAGTTCTTAGGACTTATCAGACTATAACGCCTGCCGTCTTTCAGATTTAATTCACAACTCTGAATACCCAAGAATGTATTCCGCCTATGACCGAATCTCGCGATCTGGGAATGTCGTAGAAACCCAGGGGGGCTTTTAATTGTATTCGATCAGGTATGCTTGCTTTCGATTTTCGTCACCAGACTAACATATATCCCCCAAAAGACAGTTTCCAGACCGAATTCTCGACGGTGTTTGGAATCGGTTGGGATATTCGACCACCATTGACTGTCACATTCTTATCTCGATGCAACACGCCGTAGATTGGCACAGAAGGAATCGGAACTAAGAAATATTGGGTAGGAAAGAAAGTAACCGCAATACCCTCGGAATGAAAAACGCCTGGGGGGGGGGGTAATCGGCCGTCTCTCCTTGTTTGTGTACTTGTTCAATAAGTTGTAAATCGTGGATTCGACCGCTGCTCTTAGTATTATTGTCTTTGAATTTTGTATGTTTGAACTATCATTCTGGGCCAGACAGGGTTTTGAAGAAAAATCCTCGTCAGTTCCCCATTCGGTTTTGACCTAATATTTCCTTTACTCATGAACTCTATACTAAATAAAGAAAAACTATTCATCTCTGTTAATCATACCTTGCATAATTACTCTGAAACCCGAAGGATGCATAAGGCCTTGACTCCCTCTCTTTAAGCTAGGCAAGGTTTGGGTTCGAAACTACGGAACTCTCTTCGACATCTGCGGCTGTTTACATTTATGTTGAGTTACGTTTAGATTGACCTCCGCATCGGACTTGCAAAACAGATGTGTTACCCTACACAGATCCTCAACTTTCGAAGCGTGCATTCCACTATCTTCGGTGCGTCCACCATATTCATCATCATCATCATTGTCAGCTGTAAGAACCGCGTACTCGTCGTACAGTGGTTGTAGCTTCCGCAGTTTCGTTCGCCGATGATTTGGGGGAGGGGGTAGGTAGCTGCGCATTGCACGCGCGAGCTGGTAAATTGGTACATAAATCCAGCACTGTCAGTGGGCTGTCAAGTGGGGGAGGGGGTTGGAAAAGGAGCTATGCATTGAAGGCAATAGCTTTGATGCACGTGCGCCATATTGGTAATTCTGATGTTCAGGGCAGTATATAAATGTGGTTAATGCAGCCCCGTCTGGTAAATTGAAACCCCGTTGACTTGAGGTAGTTTGTGCATCAGACTAGGACACGACTTCCAAGCAATTTTTATTCGTAGTGAATATCTATGTAATAACGCTCTCCAACTCAGCAATTTTTTCCTGCTCTGATCTTGGTTGCCAGGTTGACCGCTTATTTGGAGCCAACTAGAGTGCTGGAATACTTTGCTCATTTGGGTTTCACCTACTTCGCAGCCGGTTCGTTTTGGTCTACAGTGAACTCCCACCATCAACAACAACAGCATCCTAAGGATCCATATGATGGCACGCCATCTACTCCCTTGCTGATTGGGGCACTTCCCTTAAGAGATCGTCTCATAGGCCAAAACCCGCCGAATTCTTCAGGCCGTTCTGATGCGGGCGGGTCTTCTGTACCAATGAGTCGAAATACACGTGACGCTCTCTTACGAAGTCTGGTGATCACTAGTGAAAAACGTCTGGACACCATTAGACGGTCAACACAACGCACGGTATTTTACTGCCGTGTGTACGGCGCGCGCAAAGTTGGCAAGGTGAGATGATCCGTCAGCTATTCTGAGATTACTTGTGATTTGCCCCTCTTTTCACCCTACTGCTATATTATCATTTATTTTTGAAGAGCATGGTCACAAACATAAAAAGTGAATGCAAGCGATGAATGCGAAATAGTAACAGGAGAATATGGTAGAAAAAACAGAAACGTCTCATTCGAAATCATGCCAATAACAGTTCCAGTGTGATGAGATGAATCCCAAAGTATGTAAAAATTTTGATATGGAAATACGCGTCTGAAGACCAACAACCGAAGAAAGGATAATGTTGAATGCTCTTCAAGGCGCGGTGGGCGCTAGCACAGTCAAGACTCGCACATCAGACACAAGGTGTCCGTCATACTGGGTCTGGTGTGCTGATCTAGATCGTTTCAGACTCACCCTGAAGGGTAAAACCGCTTTTTAACGTACCGAACCTAGCATATTTGTAAAAAAAGACTGTAAACCCAATAATTACTCAGTGAAGCCGACAGTTCACAGCTGTGTGTTCTTCACAGTTTGTCTTCCCCTGTGCAATTTTTCATATGCGGTACAAAAGTCTGCTACATCACATTTCCGTCCATCATGATTAAAGAACATCAGGTCGTGTTCTCTAGTGCGTCCACTTATTCGCGCTGACTTGTACACAAACTCATCACAATATGGATAAGCGTTCCATATCTTCATGCACTCTTCCCGAGGTTGAATTTATCTCTTCTGACAACTGCGTCATCCGTGTCTTACGGCGAGGAGCTGCTGCTAATGATGCTCATAACCTTTTTTTATCAGACATGTTTGTTGCAAGGTCTTCTCGGCCGACACCTTCGTGGCACCGGTGGCCTCGCCATTGGTGGGTTATCAGGACGCTCTTCTGGTTGGGCGGCGGCCACAGGAATCCAAGTCTATGGGCAGCAAAGAACGCTGATTATGCATGAGATTGGAGCAGCTGGTGGCGAACAGA